GAGCACAACCAAACCGGGCAGGGAGGGCGCGGACTTGAACGTAAGTGCGGATGGCGTCAGGCGCTGTTCTCGATGTTCACCGGGCCGCGCGCGAACAAGACTCCTCGCGGAGGGCATGTTCACTTTCCCTTCGGACATGACCAAGCCGGTGCGTCCCCTGCGGAAGTTTCGCCACAGGTAGCCAGTAGTTTCCAAGCACGTGACAACCAAAAGCTAGCCATACCGAAGGATTACCTACCAGACCTGCATGGCCTCCGAATGACACCAATGACTCAAATGACTCAAATGCCCCCCCCCTCCACAAGGCATGGCACCCCCGGATTTTAGGACAGTCAACCCAAGTTGGTCTTCAAGAAACCGGGATAACTCTTGGTGTGTGGTCGGGCTCCAAATGGGCAGAACTTTCAAGAAACCCGTTGGACATCCAAAATTCCGGTGGGTCCCGATTGTTCACATTTCAGGTGGTTCCTCTCCAAATTCCCAGCCGCATTTCCGGGCCGAAACCGAAACGCGGATTTTGTCATGTCCGGCGTTCCGGGCCTCACGCCTTCTTCTCAGCCAAGCCATCCAAGCACTTCAGCATCCTCAGGCATCGCATCCATCCCTCTGTCTCTGAAGCCAACATCGAGGCCCATGGCTTCAAGAAAGGTTTGCCTGAACCCCGAAACAGACCCTCTCCAAAGCTGCCGAGAACAAGCCTCATGGAACATAGTGCCCCTAACCAGCTCATGTGTTTTAGTACTTATCCCCGTGTTCCCAAGCACAACTTGGCGTGCCTTTGCGTGTCCCGGCAAACGACAGCTTGCCTAAACATACTGATCCGTGGACTTTTGTTCCACCTTCCAGTCCTCAAGGTAAGGCAGTATAGTACCCCTAGTGGCATACAAGCTACATACCATAAGCCTATGCCCAGGCCGGCTGCGGGTCACTTGACAGGGGATTCTGTGGGATTCGCTTTGCATCATAAAACAATTAGACCTCTAAACAACCAGCTCTCTCTCCAGAAGCGGACAGTGACTTCCATTTGCTGCAGCCCCCTGAGAAAAAAAAAAGAGCAAATGAGCAAAACTGATCTCCAGGGAATTTCGATTCCCTTTAAAACTAACAAGTATGGAAATCATGTACCAAACACATATCAAAAACATATACCAAACCAACATCTATTCACGTCCGCAAATGGAAGGTGACTGGATCCCCCCCCGACCTCTTCTGGCAGTTGCTCCTTCCCTTTTTCTGGGGTCAACGTCCAGCGAAAAAGGACAAAAAATAAAGGAGCCGGGGCCGAGGTGCACCTGCATGAGGGCAGGCTCCGGGCGCAGCTGTTTGAAGACCTGGAGAATGGAAGGAGGGGGAGAAGGAAAGGGCTTGGGCCACTTGGGGCAGGGGTGGAGGGGGGAGGTGGGGAGGAGGAGGAGAGGAGGTTGGAGGAGGAGGTTGGAGGAGGTGGGAGGGGTTTGGGGGCTGTTGGGAGGGGGGAACAAAGGATACTCTCAGCACTTCAACTAAGTCGTCCAAGGGCCTATCATTCCCACAGAGCAACATTGCAATGCGCTTGGTGCCTAGGAAAAGGACTGGTGGGGAGGGGGAGGATCACTTTGAGTTGTTTTCTGGTCTCCGTGTTTGCTTGACCTCATGATCGTCCCAGATCCTTCATTGGTCCCAGGCGCCCGCGCCCTCAAGGAGGCATCATACTGTGGATGGACAAAATCCATTTCGCACCACCCAGGAAACCCTGGTTTCTGAGGAATCAACTCTCAATATAAACCAACGGTATTGCTTCAACCATGGTTTCTTAGGTGGTGCGAACGGATTCAGCATTCTGCACTTGACTGGGATCTTAACTCTTATGGCGTCTGGACTGCAAAGAGGCGTTCGAAGCCTTCCGAAAGAACTCTGCTGGGACTCCAACCCCCGCCCCCCTTCGGGCATCATCCTGGTATACCTCCAGCTTGAACACAACACGGATATATCAGGATTTGCTAAATGATGGGGTGCCCTTGAGCCCTCTGCTGCTTGCCTGCTTCTATTTGCTTTGCTTTTCCCAGTGGATACATTTACCGGGTTTTGTAGGTAACTGGGGGCTGTTTAAGGGCTTGCATGGGATCCCTTCAACTCAAGGGGGGGGCTGGGAGCTAACATGTCGAATCCAGCCCTGTGAGGGGTCGGTTTCACCTTACAAGAACTAGAAGTGGTCGCTTTTACATAAATGCCCAGTCAATCACCATCTGATTGACTGGCCCCGGCAAAACATGCCTTTTGTGCTGGTTGGTTGCAAGGGAAACCCAGAGAAACCTGTCCAATCCTTGGCATGGCCTTAAAAATGCTGCTTTGCTTGCAGCCACCCACTCAACTGAGCAGAACCCAAAAACTCGCCTGTATAGGTAACCAAGGGAACCACCCCTGAACATGGAAAATGCTTGGTAACCCAAGCTCTGGGATCAGGGCTGTGGAAAACAGACTTGCGGCTTGCGCTTTTGGGATCCACAGTCTCCACGGAAAGGACCCGACCTTTCCAATCCCCAGCGATTCCGCCCGAAAAAGATCCACAGTCTCCGGGTTCGGACACCCGAACTTTCCGCCCGACAAAGCCCGGCCTGTAGGTCTAGTCTTCCTCCATAGGCGCCACCATCCTCAAGTGAGCCAACGGCCGAAAATCCGGGCTGGTGGGTCCCCATGTTGGGTGTGTCTTTTTTCTAAAGGGTGCCGTTTTTGGGTCTTTGTTCAGGGAACTTGAGATAAAATCAGACAGTTGTCTGTCACCCAAACCAATCGCGACGCTGAGAGTCCCGATTGGCAACTTGCGGTGCCTACGGAACGAATCTGCTTATGCAAATCAGAAGTGACAGTAGTTGTTCACCAGATGTTTCACGCTTGCCAGGCGCTTTGCCAAAGCACTTCTGAATCACATGAGGAACGCATGAAAAAGGCAAAGGGTAGAGGCATGTTTGCTTCGCGGAAATCGGCTTCTTCACCCCCACTGGCAGCGGGGCAACTGGTCCACACATCATGTTTTTCATGAAAAGATGGAAATGCATGAAAGGGGGTCCCTGCATGTATTTAAAAAAGAGAGAAGAAAAGCACCCCGCAGAACTCCAGTGGCCCCAGTGGCCCCAGTTGGGCCATGGCCAAAACTGCGCCTTTTCTGGCAGCGGATTTTCAAAAGATCCCAAGAAAAATCCCAGCGCTGTCCGTTCCGACCCGGTCGGACAGGGCTCCCTGTGCTTCCTTGAAACATCACAAAAGGAGACTCGCTTCAACTCAGCCCAAGAAGGGATGTCTAAAACCACCCAAGAGACTATAGGAGTCGGAGCCCTGGAGGGCAGGCGATGTTTCTCTTGCGGGGGGTTTTGGCGTCGGGGTGTCGGGCCAAAGTGTCGGCGGCGTTGGCGATGAGCCCGTAGAGCCAGCGCATCTCCTCGCAGACTGGCATAGAGGCGCTCTCCTGCGACAAAGCCAGCGGGTCCATTGAATCAGACCAACCCCGTGTTTCCAGCCACCAGAGTAGGTAAGCCTTTGGGATTATTTGTTCCTTTCCCTGGTTCCCTACCTCGAGTGTGGGGAATCTAAGATTCGGCTTGCTTTCGATTGGCTACGGTTGTAACATTTACCAGGGTTCTATTTTGGGTACACAGGGAATCTAACCCAGTGAATCCATCCATTTACCGGGTTTAGTAGGTAACCAAGGGCTTGCCACCCGATATTCAAACCACATCAAAAATAGCAAAGGCTACTGTCACTGGGATCCACCAAGTAAGATTCAGCTGGTATGGGCCAGAATTAAACCAAGAATCGGATCACAGATTTTCGCCCAAGTTTCCTTTTGCTGGCAAGCCATTTTACATGTTTTTGACCCACAGCCAATTGGTGATTTGGGTTGCTGGTTTGGAGGTTAGGGGGTGGTTTCCATTTTGGCCTCTACCAGAACTAGGGCTTCAAACCCCCAAACCACCACCAATCCAAGCCACCATTTGAGGGTTGCCTGATAAGAAGATTGTCCTCTACCCGCAAAACACTACCACCAAACGGGAATGGTGTCTAACCTGTCTGGGGTGTGTCCTGTTTTCCGTTGTGGGTAGAGGACAAAAAGGCCAAGCCCAGTTGGAACAGTGACGAGGCAGGGATTGATGATATTAGGTGGGGAATCGACGAAACAAAAAGAAGAAAAGGCTGCAACTCAACAATCTGCCCGGACACTCAAATTACCTTAGAAGTTGGCTATTGCCCCCACAATATTGGGGTGAACTCCCTTGTTTATGGGGTAGTTTGAGGTCCAGGTGGTTGCAGTTGTTCTGTCCCTTGATTTAACGCAGAATCTACCGAAATTGCGTCAAAAGCTGTATGCAGGCCTCGCCCCGATTGGGTGCCTGCGCCATGTTCAGGACCCAATAAGAGAATGATTACTAATGGGCCAATCTTACAAAAAACAAAGCCAGAAACGAGAGTGTCCAAAAACCTCTCCCTCAGCCGACCCCCACCTCAATCGCTGCAAAGTTTCGCGCAAAGTTTCCCCTGGCTCCTGGGTTTCTGCCCACTTTAGGTGTGGCAATGCTGACGGATTGGTAGACCTTTCGCTTCCGTTGAGCCTAGGCATGTACCTCAAAAGTGATCGCTCGCCCCAGCTGTAACATGGGAACCCCCCCCCCCCAATTCCCCCCCAAATTAAGCAACTATTGACTGGCCCCACCATTAAGCAACTAGCTGATGCCACCCTGGGCTCCCATTGAGTTGCCGGATGGCGAATGGCTCCTGACCGTAGATCAACTCCAGTCGCACCACCTCTGAGGAGAGAGAAATCGCCTGAAAGGCAGCGCGACCGCACTCACTGACTCACTGACTGACTCGCTCACGGGCTCATGTTTTTAAGCGATAGCGATACAAACTAACCAAATGCACTTCGAACCAGTTGCTAGGTGGCAGTGAGCCAGCATTCATAGGGTTTCAGCCATTCCAACTGGTGCAGCAGCTTGCCCATCCAAAGCAATCCCCCAACAACTTGTGTGTTTCCTGATAAGTGGCCAAAAAGGCGCACCAGTGAAAGTCTAAATCTGGCTGAGATGTGAGGTTGCCCTTGGCATGGCGGTGCTTTTCTTCGCTCTATTTGCCCGCGAGTCCGAGCTGTAGACAATTCGTGGGTCAAAGCATCGCAAAGTCCCAAGTAACCATTCGACCGAATGATTTACGTGCACCCGATGATGGGCTCACGCAGTCACTGATACTATTGCTGTCTCTCGGGACCTCCTGACTCTACCCCTTGAAGCGGGACTAAGCAGCTACGAGATGTCAGCCCTCGGGCACACATTCAGTGGGCCCATCGCATCATCCATGCTGGCAGTGTGAGGCATGATAAGGGAATGCGTCAGAACTTGTGCACTTGATCTGCCTTGCTGAGTGCTGAGGAGGCGTGACTGTTGGGCCCCAGCATTGGCAACGGATCACTGGGTGTGCATCAGCCCATCCCAAATTCCTCTCAGCTGGAGTGAGCACGGGCCCTCCTTGCATCCATTTTGCCAAATGAGCTACAAACATCCCAGGTCCAAGCACAGCACATTACCCTCCCACCAGCTAACATGGAATTGCACAAACCCCTGTAGAAAGACCACTTTCCTCTTGGAAAGGGCCTTGTTGCACTTCCATGTTAGTTGGTGGGAGGGTAGGACCCACTCTGTTTGGCCCCTTGGCTGCACCTTAGAAAAAGCTGCCCACTCCCGACTCTCGACTCCCAACTTGCCAGGACTAAGCGGCATCTGCCAGCGAGAGCGTGCCATCGCCATCCAGGTCGTAGAGCGAGAAGGTGAGGTGAATGCGCTCCTAGTGAGCCATCGCTGGTGCGATAGGTAGGGAATGAGAAATGGAATGAACCCAGGAATTGGTTCGTTTACACCAAATTGGATGGTTTTTCTAGGGGTCCTTCCCTTGTACCTACGGAGCCCCAGCAAGATAAGCAAACGAACCAAGGAACAAACAATCAGACGGCCACCCTACTTAATTGTGGTCGGGATCGTCCCTAACCTGCACTTGCACATGATTGTGACTCAAGTGAGGCAAAGCGATGTTGAGCTCACATCGGCTCGCAACGGCCGAAAGGGTCTCCCGAAATCGCAGGTCAAAGCAATGCTCCCCAGCCAACCGACACGGACATGGAAAACGGTGCAAAGTTTGCCGCTCCCTTGGTGTAGCCGATCTTGAGGGAACCCCCCTACAGGAAACCGCACAGAAGGGAAAAAGAAGCAACGCATTGAAGGTCTGGGCATCAACAGTCAAGCTGCTGGTTCATCAACTCCGTTTACTTATTGACAGCTAGCCTTTGTCTTGCAACACTTGATTACAACGAATCCGAAAACTTCCAATAAGACTTGGATCCCCAATCCCCAATGTAAGTCTAATCCAGAGTGGCCGAAGGACTCGCAAATTTCTCCGTGGATTTTCCCAGTAAGGGGCCCTGGGTCGAAGCTGTCCCGGCCTGCTGCGCGTCCCAGGTCTTGCTACGGTGCCGCTCCAGGAACTGAGCCCAGTCCTTGACTTCCCACAATGTGCCCACCCGCTAAAAGTTTGTTTTAACTTTTAGTGGTTTTAATACGGAAGACCCAAATTTGTTGGCAAAAAGTGTTAAAGTCCCAACAGCCCTTGGCAAAATGCACCAAAGAAAAGCAGTGGATGGGCCAAGAACAGCCCGAACTGCTCACTTACCACCAAAATAGCCTTGAAAAAGGCACCCACATAGAGCGCCTCGAAGTTTATGGGGAAAATGTAAGTGAGATATTTCGCATCCAGTGAAAGTGGACAGGCAAGTTCCCCAGAAAAAAAAGAAGTACCTTCCTGTCAGCATCCATGGCTGTGGGAGAGTCAACCCCTGGTTGCCCCGAGATTAGGATGGCTTTGGGGCTTCAGCCCAAACTAAACCTAAACATCAGACCAGCTACATGAGCAAAAGAAGCCTCGCCCATTGAGGCAAAAAGAAACTCACGTCCGAAGGAGTGGATGGGCCCAAAAAACAACTTTGTGGATTTGCCACTGAACCGGTCGCTAAGTGACTAAAGTCCGAAACGGAACTCAGGGAGTGAGGAAACTCTTCCGCATGGAAGTGAGTGGGTCCCTTCTCACTCCCATGGCCAAATGGAGACCCAACGGCAGCGCCCAACATAAGGTCGGCAACCACATGCAGCCACAAGCAGTGTCGCTGCAAAACCTCCCCGAAAAGGGCTGTCCACTTTCTGACCCCCTGCTGAAAGTTTCCCATGTGGGTAAAATACGGAAACCCAGCCACTAAACCAACTAAACACAATAAACTGGAACCGGACGATTCGCTGGGAACCGCCAAGTGGAGAACTCCGGATCGGATGCAGTGTGGAAACTCCCAAGCCGAAAGCCGAGGTGCCAAAACTCCTACTGGCTGATTCTTGGGCGAGACGGCCTCAAAGAGGCGTCCTGCACATGGCGGCTGGAGACCAGCTCGAACCAGGAGAGGTGCGCGGGAAACTGGGCTGGTTGCAACTTCCCTTGCAACCGATCAAGCTGCCCCCCCCCTTCCACTTCCCATTCCCCTCAAAGCAACAAACAAATGCAGCTGCCATGTTTTTTTTCTGGCTGCAGTGCTTTTGGAAGTCCTGCGATGTGGCCCACCGGAATCCCAAAGATCCTTGGCAAGGTCCGGCCGCTGAGCTGGGGGCGTGGGGCTGATGGGGCTGATGGGGTGGCGGGGGGTGGCCTTCGGCATCTTCTGAGATCCTTTTGGGGAAGCCGCCAAACAAACGTGTGCCTGTCCAACAAGTGGTCAACCGAGCCTCTAGTTGTTCATTTTCCATATTGCCCATATTCGTCTTAAAGGCCAATGAGACACTACCAAACATGGAGCCAGCAAGACAGGTTCCGAGATCTTGCCTTTACTGTCATTGTCATGTACGACTGATTGGCCGGGCAGCATCAAAGAGCTCTCGTCAACCTTGAAATCCTTCAGACTCCCTCCTTGACGCTGCAGAAACTTGTACATGGAGCCGCGGTTTGCTTCGAAGATCGGAACTTCCTATAGGCGGTGGTTTTCTTCTTGGTTTTCCTTGTGCCACCCACTCCAAGTTTGCGCTTCTCTGAGCCAGCTTTGCGGGAACTATCACAACTGTACGCAACTCAAACTGGAAGAACCCTGAAACGACCGAGCTTGTTTCACCCCCACCCCTCCAAAGGCGCTTCGCCACTGCAGGGAACCAGGTTGGTTGCATGGAAAACCTACGGGTAAGGATCCCGAAGGGCTACCACCTGTCCGGAACTCCAGGTCCTGGTCCATTTTCCTCTGGAAGGGACACTCCGGTCGCCTCCATGAAAATGGACGGAAGGTGGTTTGGAAACTGGAAGCACTCGGCCACTTTACACAAACAAGTGCAAAACAAACTCCTCAAAGGATCTCCATCATGGGTGCCCCAGACCAAGGGGCTTGTCCGCAGAAGCCACCAGGCGAGCTCGCTGGATGAGCCAGTCCTGTGTCGGAGCCAACTTTCAAGTGAAAGTCGTCAGAGGTCTGCGAACAAACGGATACTTGGACTCTCAAACTACCCTTAAAAATAGGTTATTGCTCGAAAATGCTGGGGTCATGTGCCTTTTTTATGGGTAGTTTGACGGTCCTGGCGCCCTGTTTGGACGCTGTTTCAAGGGAGCCCCAAAGGAAACGAACCGTTTCAGGCGTGCCCGCCCTATTTTTTTGCGACAAACCCTCATTGGGCAACTCAGGGAGGATGATGATGGCACCAGCGATCCCAATGCAAAACATTTCACTGCTGCCGATCACAGCTACTGGCACACAACAAAGACAACATCAACCACTAACAGGAAATAATAAATAGAAGCATCTCTTTTCTTCCTCGTTACTTAGTGAGCCTTGACAAATGAGGCTTGCATTATGGGGTAAAGCAATCAAGCTTAAAGATGAACATGCCATTGACCTCTGGTAAAGAGGAATCTGCTTGGCGGACTTCCAATTGCTTAAGCCCCCTGAAAAAATGGTCCAGTAGTGAAAGAACTCCTTTTAACTTCAACAGGGACAATTCACAACGGAAGTGGATCTTCAAGGAAAGCCACCAAACTTTGATAATTACCGCAAAAATGGTCCAAACCCAACAAGTAACTCAAGCCCCAAACTGATTCTCACAACGACAACAAGGATCCTAACCCAAGCCTCGTCTCGCAAGGCTTCGAAGACACGGGTGTGCCATGCGAAGTCCTGAGCTAGGCTTCTGTTGGGTTCCCTACTTGAAGGGGCAGGGTAGTTATAACCCACTGACCAGGGTTATAAGTCTCCTGAGTGAGTTATAGCCAGGCTTACCAACCACTTACTCTGCCCCTTGATATGTGTATATATATATATATGTATATACATATATATATATATATAACCCTTTTGGGCTGTTCCCAGATCTCCTGCAATGGCTGATCTGGAAATACCAACGGGTTTCATTTCGTGGTGCGAAGAAATTTCGCATCCATCCACAGGCTTGGGCTCGCCAGGCGCTCCCGGGTTTCGACCATCGACGAAACTCACGACCTAAAGCAGACCCGGGCCAACAAAAATCGCACGCAGATCCGGCCGGGGTTGGTTGTCCCCCTTTCTAAACTCGGTTGCTTTCTGCTCCCCTGCTAAAAGTGACCAACTTTAAGTGGTTTGGTACGGAAAACCCATTAGTTGGCAAAAGGTCCAAGTCCTAACAGCCAAGCAAAATGCACCAAAGTAATGCTCAGTTTCCGAAAGCCCGAAACCAATGAGGATCACGAGAGCCGGCCGAATCCTGCCGGTTGGCTCCATGCCGAGACGCGGCCTCCTTCAAGAATGGCATCCGTGCACGCAGCTCCTTCATGTCTGCCTGAGGAGGAGGCAAAAAAAAACCGAAGAGGACGGTCAGGGCTCCGTGCCCGTTCTCAGAACCCTTGCTGGGTGGGGTTAGACCTTTGCTTTCCCTACGTATTTCCCCCCCCCCCCCGAGAAAAAAAAAAAAAAACGAATGAAGAAACAGCGGAATCCAAGGGGTCCTAAAGTGTGGCCACGTTTAAGCGCCAATCCAACAAAGTGTTGTCCCCTTTGTTGCAGGGACCCTTCCTTGTTTTCCACAAGGGGCCCCTTCTGCCTGGCTCAAAATGCGCGGCTAATTATACTCTCCACCATCTGACATGATCGATTGATGTTAAACAACCCAGCCTTTACAAATCAAGCCACCAACGCGTCTGCCATGTTTGGAACTTCTCCTCCTGGACACCCTTCTTGGGCTACACACCAATTTGGGCGTGTTGCTTGAGGCTAACGGTTTCTTGGGGTGGTGTTTGGGTGGGAGCCCAAAACTGGGCTGTCCGTTTTCAGATCCCCTGCTAACAGTGACTAACTTCTGGGTTAAAACTCGGAAACCCAACCACCGAACCAACTAAAACCCATTACAAAGGCTTCCTGGAACCGGATGCGCTTGCTAAAAACCGCCCAAGAACAGGACACCATCCATCACCACCGCCCCCACCACCCCCCCACTCCCACCCCCCCCACCACTCCCCCCCCACCCCCCCCCCACCACTCCCCCCCCACCACTCCCACCGCCCCCCCACCCTCCACCCCCCCACCACTCCCCCCCCACCACTCCCCACCACCCCCCCCCCAACCCCCCGGCAGCCGACGGGCCTCGAACTTCTCGAAGGCCTGGGAGCTCGGCTCCGGGCCTCTGGAGGCGAACTGGTGCGGCTGGTGGCTCTCCGGCGTCGTCACCTCAGAGACGCCCAGCCGAGCGCCCGCCGCCCCAGCGGCCGAAGGCCAACCCATGGCCAGGGGCCTCCTTCCGGAGCCGCGGCTTTGGGCCCCTTTGGCCCACGTCCGAGCGAAAAGGAGCCACAAAGTAAAGGGCGTTGATTCATGTCTTGGGGGTTTTGCCACGGAAAAACGGTCCAAACCAGCAAAGTGACTGGAGTTCAGGAACTCGCAAGGCTATCTATAGTGGCTTGCCGTACATCAATACCTGGAGGCCCTTTTTAGGGTAGATGACTTTTGGTGAGAACACTCGCTCGAACCCCTGGCCATCAAAATGGCGTACAGGGACCAGCAAACCTTCAGAGATTCTGACCGCCAAGTACAGCTCAGCTGGCCAACAAGGGACCCAGAAACAAAAGTAACCTCGCGGGGCCGTGACTGAAATGGGAGCCCAAAATGGGAAAACCAAAAGGCAAGATCCGGTCGATTCGCTTTGGGCTCGCGTGAGAAAGGGACCCCCTCCAAACAGGTCTACAATTCTTGGTATGGTAGCAACTGTCTTTGCTGTCTGCAGCCCCCAAGCAAAAACGAACAGGAACAAACACAACGAAACCAACTCGCCAAGAACTGTGAAGTCAAAAACAACCAGAGAACAAAACAACAACACACGAAACAAATACGATCAACTTGCCAAGAACTGTAAAGAAAAGAAAAGGGAAAAACAACCCCGCTTGGCCGGAGGAAGGCGCTCGAAGTCTCAGCGTCACGGTGGACTTCTTCTCTCTTCGCGTCTGCCTGGGTGGAAAAGGAGATGAAACGCAAGTCAGCGGAGGAAACAGTCGGCAGCCACGCAGGAATTCACGTCTGGACTGTCCGATTTCAGATCCACTGCTAACAGTGACTAACTTTTAGTGGGTTGAATTGGGAAACCCAACCGCTAAACCAAGAAAACTAAACAGCTATAAGGAACACGGACACCTCTCTATACATGGGTGGGCCAAATCTATGCTGCGGCAATGCCTCGGGCACAGCGATGTGCAATACGCGATGTGCGGCACGCTAGGAACCACAGGGGGGTCTGGCGTATTAAGCTGCTCAGCGGGGAAGCCAACAGCTTTCAACACAGTTCCTGCAGGCTCAGCCTTGGTGTGAGCCATGGACACGAAAGGCCAACCTCCATTCGCTGAAGTCCTCTGGAAAAAACATCCGGTAGTGATAGGTTCCCTTTAAAATTAACAGGGGAAAGTAAAAGATAATCTTACGCAAATGGAAGCCACCCATGCGTGTAGTGTAGACTTGTCAGGGACACACCAGGTTGGATTCCAAGCGGGTAATCCCATGGGTGGCGAGATTCCAGCATGTCGCCTCAGGACGCACCTGTAAATTGCGCGGCCCTCGCACAGAAGCAGCAAGCAAGTATCGCTGCACAATCCTTCTGAACATAACACCTTTGAGTGTTCGTTGCGATTGACCTGGGTGTGGCTCAAAATTAAACAGGAGGGGTTACGCAGGTTATGGCTCATGTTTCCACTTACCAGGCTTCCATTTTGGTACCGGTTTTTTGAGCCACAGCCATATGAATGTTTCCCATGCCACGAAAATGGTGACCCAGGAAGTGAGACCCAAATGGCTGAGGCAGCGCAAATGGGCCTGATTTCTGTTCACCAATCTGAGGGGACATGGACCTTGCAGCTTTGGGCGTTTGTCAAAATCTTTCGTCCCTCCTCCGCTGATCTTACCTGGACCCTCAATAAAGCCATGAAAAAGCAGGGAATTCAATCCATGTTGTGCATAACCACTTTGGCATAACGATGCATCCCAAGCTCTGCGTTATCCACTCATTACTCCCAAATGAAGATGAAACACAAAAAGGGCATCGCCCCAGCAAAAGGGTGTTTGGGTTCCCTTCGAAATCACTAAGCTCGCCAGTACCCTCAACCAATCCCAAAACAGTCCAAAACCCACCCAAAACCCACCCCCAGACCACCACCCCCCCCTTCCCCAAAACCCAGAACCCCCCCCCCCCTCCCCCCCCCAAACCCAGCCCAAGGCCACCCAACCGCCCCAAACCCAGCCCAACCCCAGCCCCCCAACTAACCGCTTGCGAGTGGCTCCTCGGTGAGCTGCACTTGCCCATCGAAGCCAGCGGGCCAAAACCGCTCCGAGGCCAGGACGCAGCTGCCCAAAGGCTCGTCCGTCTGCATCGAATCGACGCGAAGTTCCCAAGCGAAGCGGGCGGAGAACGTCCCGGGGCAGAATGAGAAACAAGGTGCTGTCTGTGATAGACTAGAATATGTGTGATCAATCGATTCCTTTTAAAATCAACAGGGGACATAAAATATTCTTCAGCAATGGGAAGTTTCCGAAGGGGAAGGAGGCTGAGGGGTCCAGGACCCAAGTTCACTCATGAGGTGATGAAGTCGTTTGTCATCCTCCTCCCCCAATTTCATTTTAAAGGTGGATCGCAAAACCCCCAGAAGCAACTTGAACTTCCAGGATGGTTTCCTTTGGTTCCAAGCTGGGGAGGGTATAGTGCGAAGTCCCCTTTGGCGACACTCCCTTTCCATCCATTCAAAGGGTTGGGTTACAGAAAATTATAGAGGAAGTTGCCCCAAAACACCCTAAATCAGCTGTTTTCCTGTGGAATGTCCTGCAACCCAAGCCTTTGATCAATTTTGCACCCATCCCCCCACTGTATCCAAGGCACACCCCCACGTCCGTCGCTGTCCCACACTGCCAGGCGCAGCGCCTGAAGAATGGTTTTCGAGTGGAAAACCCTCAACCTACCCATTGAAACCAGGGAGTTCGCCCCATATGTTTGGGGCAATACGCAATTTTCAAGGGTAGTTTGAGGCCGGGTGGGTGAATCCTGGGAACCCAACGAAAAACAGAAGAAACCTTTAAGGGCGAAGTCGTTTTGCCGCCTGTCGCGAAACAGCTCGCTCACATAGATGGATCCAATGCAAAGTCTGGGTTGCTTCGCGTTGATTTCCAGCACCTATGTGTACCATCCGGTAAGTCACTGTGCTCACAAGTGTGCTTTCTTACAAGGAATTGTTCGGATTGACCACTAGTGCGGTCATACATGTAAGTGTATCTTACATATATGTGTATATCATGCATATTTATAAATTTATGTGTGTGTGGGTGTGCGCGTGTACAAATGTGTAAACACACAGCCTGTTGCCCCGCCCCCCACCCACCCCCCGCACAACAGGTACATTCTGAGACCTTGTGTCGAGCCCCAATGACAACATTCATTAGGCTGCAGGCCAGTCATAAGCATGGACTCCTTCTACATACCTGCGACCTCCGCAGGGTACATGTTTTGCCGTTTGGCGAGAAGGCATGTGTGTTTGGAAAAGTTGCCGTTTGGACGAGACAAGTTGCCGTTTGGACGGGTAAAATTGCGCCGTTTCGATTTGGCAACCAACCGCCTGCAATGCTCAACTTTCTAAAGTGTCGTTTCGCAAAGAAGTGCCGTCTCGATGGAAACATGGTTTTTAACCAAACAGCAGAAACATGTACATGCCGGGAAGCCACAGGTATAGTATAACATGTGTGTAAACATCGTTGACGCAAATATATACGTTTCACGTGTAGCAATTGTGTGATCTCATGTCATCAGATCCAGGGGCTGACTAGGAGCCGTCGGCATCTGCTTCGTGCAACAGTTAGCTGGGAGGCTGTCAGGGTATGCGTCGAAATAGGGATTTGGAGCCCAGAACGCCTAGTTGTCCTGCTGGTTTCCCTTTAAACCAAGGTGAAACCAACTCCCTCAACAAAGCAGACGGCTTGCTTTCCGCAAATGCTTGGGCAATACTCTCGAGCCTTGCAGGGGCCCATCCCAATGCAACATATCTGGGGAACTTCTGGATGACGGATTACCATGACCTTGGAACAAGCAAACATGCTCAAAGCTTTGGTGCTTCCTGGAATTCTTGGTTGACGTTGAAAGGGGAGCAACAAAATAATCTTTAGCAGCCAAGTGGTTGGATTCCAACCACTAAACCACAATGACCCCTTGGTCTCCCTCAAGGGGCCCAGCCCAGGATTCCTTAAAGCGACAGCGCGGCTTCCGCTTGCGCCGGAAGCTAAACGGGCCTCGCCCGGCAAATAGTCGAGAATCTCCCGCTTCTCATTCCAGACCTTGCGGTTGCTTCTCCCGACCCGACCGTTTTTCGGCATGGGTTGCCAGCAACTCCAGACGCGCTTGGGAACATCATGCATTGGCCATATTCCACGAAGGGTCCTTCATGGAACCGGGAGCTGGTCTATTATTCTGGTCGCTTGTGGTAGGAGCAGCTTGATCGGCCCAAGGGCGTGGAAGTGATAGCTACCCTGGATGGACCAAATCCTGAACCAGTTGGTAGGTGGTTTATCCGAGCGGCGGGTTTCAGGCATCCCAACTGAAGCAATATCGGAATCCAGAATCTGGTCCATGGTACCCCCCCCAAACCCCCCCAGCTTCCCAAGCAACCATTTGTTTGGCAAAGTTTCCGCAGCTTTGGCTGCGCACCTCTGGCATCTGGCCCGGGTGTTGCCCAGCAGCCATAAGGCAAGACCGACAGGTCAAGCGGCTGTTGCGCTAACAACATGTCTCTGAAAGGCTAGCCCAAAAAGGCTCATGTTTCGGCAGATTTCGATTTACCACCAGGTATCCCCACTAAGCAGAAATAGAGCACACTCATAATCATGCAGATCCCTGAAGCAAAGTGCCAAAGAGACAATCCCCCCTTCAGCGTGAGCTGCCCGTCCCTCGCTGAGAAACAAACGAATTATCTGAGGGCGCCGCCGGATCCAGAGAATCTTGCACGACTTTGGTGCGGAGGCGCTCGTACTTGGCGCGGTTGTGGATTTCGCCTAAACCCAGCGCTTGAGGGACAGGCTACAGCCATCTACTCTCATAGGTAAGGGCATCTAGAAATAGACATCTTTGGAGGTGCGTATGTGTTTGGGGGCCTACGAAAAGTTCAATGAACATAGTGGGACCCCAACTTCCATTTGCTTCAGCCCCCTGTAAAAAAATACACTAACATCCAGCAGTGATAGATTCCCTTTAAAACCAAAAGGGGAACATAATGAATATTTGCTTCAGCAGATGGAAGCCAAATTGGTAGTTTCCAGTGGGTTTCGCTTTGCTCAAAACTGACCCAGGCGGGCTGCGCGCTTTGTACCCCTGCCAAGCAAATTGAACAAATTGCCCAAACGTAAAAATGTACGCAAACGTACATATATATATATATTTCCACATGCATATACAAATGCATGTCACAGTGCATACATGGTTGCATATACACAGGGGAATGCCCTTCTTGAAGACCTGGCCCGCGTTCAGGCCGAAAAGGGTCTTAAAGCAGAACAAACAATATATCTAGGACATAAATAAATAAATAAATAAATAAACAAAAAAAACATAGTAAGTAAATATATATATATATATATATGTATTATTGTTCTGGTATATGCATATATATCTGTGAAGAGACAAAAAATGCGTATCAACATGATGGTCTCCTTGCATGTTCAGTGGAAACCATAGGAAACTAAGCGCCCCACTCAAAGGTTCCAGACAAAAACACGTCCAAGGCACAAGTGCAATAAGCGTCCGCCTTCACAGCGCCCGTCTCCTGAGCTCGGAGGGTGCTTCCTTCCTGCGGTTTCGCGCACATCTGTGGGGTAACCCAAAGCTTGGTTGACGGTGGAAGGCGAGCCAAAAAATAAATTTTAGCAGTTTTGTATTTCCCACTAAACCACAATAAGCAAAAATGTAAAGTGGGGTAATGTTAACCCCGGAGTAAACAGAACCCCTGGCTGATTCTGATCGGGGGGTGTCCAATTCGTTTTAGTGGTTGGATTCAGACCATCCCCACCCCCCGAATCATGGTACAGGTTTGTTCATCCTGGGTCAACATTAACCCAAAGGTTTCCAACTTTCCAACCATGTAAAACTTGGGGGCAAGTTCATACCGAATGGTTATCTAAAGTGGCTTGCCCAAAGGTGACCTTTGGAAAATCGATGGGATTCCCTGGTAAATGGAACAAAACCCATCTAAGACGGTACAATCAATTTCGAACCAAACCTAAAAAAACATCTGTGAGATCAAACGGCTCCATGTGGATTTGACTCATGGAATCCCAGAGCGGGCATGTCTGCGCAAAAAGAGAACTCACCCCGTGAGAATCGCACATCCCGAAGCCTGTGCATGTCGAGCCAAACCACCAATTCAGATGGCTGGCGCGTTTGGATGCCCAATTTGGACACCCTCGTCCCCTGTTGTTTTTATCCAGTTGGCATGGATGTGAGGGAAATTGTACAACCGTTGGTACGGTAGCAACACCTTGCTTTTGGCAGCCCCTAAAAACAAACAGAACCAAAACACAAACTTAAACCTGGAAACGTGCCAACCAGGGTAAGGAAAGCCAAGTACCTGACGCCTGCGAAGTGGACCTACATCCATCCGAGCCGCGCCGTTGCGGAGTCCCGTGGCGCCTCAGAGACTCAGAACTCTCTCTCGAGCTCCGCGGCTCGAATTCGTGAAAACGCGACAAAATGGGGGGAAACCCCTCAACCAGCCCGCAAACGGAAAGGACTTTTGCGGGAAGCACCGCATGTTGTTTTTTGTTTTTTCTCTGAGGGCCATGCTTGTCCAACGGAGAGGACCTTTCAGAAGGACTTGTTGCGTCCCCCTCTCAAGAGGAGTGGTTATTTTGAGGAAACAAATCCATTGGAAGGGCTGCGCCGTGCATCTTGCAAAATCAAATCACGGCCACCCCAACAAAAAGCGGACCAGGCCTTGAGCAACGCTCTGCCTTTTCTGCAGCTCCAATCCCGAAGTTGTGAGTTGCCCTCAAACTCCAGAGCTTCAAAGCGATGTGTGATGCGTGTAACTCATTTGCCCTTGTCGGATCTGGAAAACGGTGAATGGCATTTCCCGTTTGCAGCAAAAGACCAGCGCTTCTACAAAAGAGCACTCAGCAAGTCAAACTTTGCAAAGTCCGCAACCCGGGGAGCGTCACTGCCACCAGCGCTCGGCAACAGTGGCTGCCTCGGCAAAATGACGAGGCGCTCAGCAGGAACACCTTCAGCTTCACCGGCTCGATGAGGTTCTTCTTCCGCTCTTGCACGCAGCCTGCGCGGCGGGCGCCAGGGCGCCGTGCAGTCTCTGTGAACAGGGCCAGTCTCTGTGAACAGGGCGCGCGCAGTGCACACCCCCCGTGCCTCCTGACAAACGCCCCGCTGCCATACCCCCAGCCCGCCAGAAAAAGAAAAGGACAGCAGGGACCAAACAACATGAACAAATCACGCAAGCTTCATGGGGAGCTCGCCACCAGGGCCTTTCGTCCAGCCTTGCAAGCTCCGACGTTTGGTAACCTTCTGAGCCGCCGCTGTGACATGTGATTGCCGTTCGGCATGGGAGGCAGGAGTCATGGGTGTCTGTTGTGGCAGCCCGAGCAGAGTCGACGTCACGTTCGAGACGTATTCCGGCACGTCAACACTCATGAGAAATTTCCCAGTTTCAGACTTAGGTAACCCAGCTCCAGCCCAACATCGCTGCCAAGTGGGTGTGGGTCAAAATTGAACCATTAAAAGACCGCAGGTCTTAGTCCATGCTTCCATTTACCAGGGTTGCATTTCATTTTGAGGTTACCCTATTTTTGACCCACGCCCAAATGCCCCCAACCCGCCTGTCAGCACTTCCTGCAGCTGCTTGAGAAAGACCGGCTCGCCATCGTGGAAGACCTCTCCAGCAGCTAGCAGCTGACAGGAATCAACTTGCTGGTGCCATACACAGGGAACGAGGGAATCAACCTGGGGATTCCCATAAAGGAAACAATAGGAGATGTTGTTTTTTTCTCCGGGTCAATTCCCTGCTGAGCACCAGCAAGTCAAAGCTTAAGTCTGAAACAAACTTCGCCTCCGAGCCTCACTCAACATGAAGCTGCACCGAGTGAAGCGCTTTGAACTCTTTCACGGCCAACTGGGCGGAACAAAGCACTACCGCGAGCCGCCCTGCAAACAAGCAGTTGGCTCTCGCAGGAACGAATATGTTGTGCCGTGTGTGGCCTGCGCTGCAACTTTTCGAACGGAACCCCGGTTGGATCCCAATTGGCAAACGGCATGGTGTAAGAGAGCAGCATTGGCAAACTGCCAGCTTTCCCGTGCACCAGTTGTGGGCTGCGGGATGTTTGCTGCTTCATTCTCTAGAAAACGGCTTGGATGTGGATTTGTGGATCCAGCCACTGAAGAGGACTAAAGGATTAGATTACTAACAAAGTGCAAACAGGCGGGAAGAACAAGTGACATACAGAAAAAGCGGAAGACGCAAATGCAAAGTGGATCTGTGCCTGGTCACTTGTGGGAAGGGGTGCGCAGGGAGCATGGCGCTTGCGTGTCTGAAACCAGCTCCCCAGAGAACAGCCAGTTCATCTTTGGCCCATGCCATGAAAAAGGACAACACGGGAACAAACACCTCTCCGAATCTGGGCCCCCTCGTACTTCAGGGAGTGCTTTACTTTTCGGCCTTCAGTGATCCAAAAGGGCGGCGACACCTCCTTTGGCGACCGACCGATTTACGCAGGACGCCTTCTCAAAGTCCGAGAGCCCAATGCCACCCTCTCCGCTCAAGTGCACCTGGGCCCGCATTTCCCCCCTGCGAATGGTGAAGAGGAACCTTCGCCCCAGGGGCCCTTGGCCACCACGGGATCATCACAAGGAATTTGCGGGTGTTTTGAGGAAAACAGATCGGTCATTCGGTTTTTTTTAATGATGGCTTAGTGGAAGCCGTACCGGGTTACCCAGACAGGCTTGAAACGCTGGAAGGAAGAGTGATGGAGGTTAAACTGGTAATTGTCAGCCGTTGGTGGTTAGGTGTTCCGGTGGGTTGAAACTCCGATCCAAACCAGAGCATCGCTTCAGACTACCCGTGTCTGACACTGTATAGTCCGTAAACCAGCTTGGCTGCGGACAATCCAACTATTGGTAACTGGTGGACACAAGAAAATGGCGGCTGGAAGCCGTGGATCCGTGCAACAGGCGCCTGGAAGCGCGAATTGGGAGGCTGGAACCTTTTATCACCCGTGAAGTTGGCATATGGTGCCTTCCTTTTTGGGAGCCGAGCTTGGCCTGCCGCAAGTTTTTCGGGAGCCCGCTGGATAACCTTAGGCCGCAAAACAACACAACGGGGCACCGCGGAGTCAGCCCAGGGATGCAGCCGCCGATGGTGCGGAACGGCTTCTGGGGCTGTCACAAAATGCAAACCCCCTTGGACGGTTTGCAAAGGGAAGCCAGTGGATCCATTTACCTGCATATGGGCAACCAAGGGAACCCGACATAAAAACCAAAAGGAAAACAGCAAGGGTGAGGTCACTGGAATTCACAACGAAAAAGTGCCAAGAAAGCCAAGAAAGTGCAGGGCTCGCCTCTTTTCGACATCGCCCCTGTTACACACATAATAGCCCCCCCCCCCACCCCTCTCTGCAGCCATGCGGCCCGCACTCTAAGCATGGAGCTGCATTTTTGTTTCATGTTCTCATCCTGGAAGAGTTGCAAGTCACCTGACCAAGCCGCAAATTCCAATCGAGCAGCCAGCCGACCTGCTGAATCCATCAATTCACGAAGTACCTACATCATGGTGGGCTCGCTGAACCCCCGAATCAGGGAGCTCACTTTAAGATTGGCAGAAATTTATTGCGGGCAGGGATGACCAATTTCACGGCTGGTGTTCCTGACTTGCGGGATGCCAGTTTCACGCCGGTCAGGACTTGCCTTTCGGAAAACATCGCCAGAGATACCTCTCAAAGCCGCAAGGGAGCCAAAGCAATGCCGACCGCGCAGGTGTTCTTTGATGTTCTGAGGTGACATATCCCAGTGCTTCCAGGCAGCCCAGGCAAGCCGCTGTAGCAGGGATCCTTACATTATACACCTGAACATTGCAACTTGCAAATGGTGGTTTCCAACTTCATGCTGCTTGGAAAAAAAAGGCAACATGTGTCAAATGCTTGCGACATGTGTATCTTTTAAGGAGCCCTGTGTAGGTTCACACGGGTTTCCCCATGATGGTCTCACCTAGGGGCGGCCATGCCTTCAAGGGCCACCTGCTTTGAAGCGCCCGCAGAATCGGCCCCAAAACCACCCGCCTTCGAACCCGGCGGGCACGAAACGAGCGCTGGGTAGGGTGGCAACGCCTAGGATGTCATCCTCCTGGCGAGCGGCGGAAGGAGAAAACCACCGCAGCGCTGAACGCAGAAGGCGTCAAAGGCAAAAAGATCCCAAACTGGTCCAAGTTTGGAGAAGCTTAAACCCATAGAAGTTGTCCTAGGACCCCCCAAACACACCAACCCATGGTCAGTTGGGGGCCCTAAGTAGATGGATCAACCCCCATGAGCCCCAGCCCTTTCGGCTCCTTGGTGCCAAAGTCCTTGTCCTGAGCAGCAAGAATTGGGTCGCATGTTCCGAATCTCCTTGGGCCGTCCGTTTTCAGACCCGCTGAAAGCTTATAAGCTTTGGTGTGCCAAATGGAAACCCAACCACCAGAAAGCCCCAAAAACAATTGAAATGATCTTCAAAGCGGTCAAACCGGAAACCCAACCACCAGAACGCCCCCTAAAAAAACCATTGAAAACAGATCCTTTTTTTCGCGGTCAAACCGGATGGATGGCGGGCCAAGTCCTGGAAGCCCCTATTTAATAGGGCCACCTGGCTTCCTGGGGCCACCGGGGCCATCGGAGGACTGCCAGGCAGCTCTGACCGTGAACTTCAGGGTCTCGCCCGGTGCGAAGTCTGCGATCCTTGGCACGAGATGTTCAAAGCTCACCCGGCGCCCCAGTGCTAGGCGCAGCGCCACTGGAGGCAACCAGGTATTGTCGCCTCTAGGTATTTGCATTGGCTATTGTTTTCCCTGGTCACCTGCTGTAGTGGCTTGCCTGGAAGCCCTGGGTGCCTGGACTGCCTGCATCGGCCCGTCGACGCGAGGCCCAACCCCCCCCCCCCCACCAAAAATGGGCCGTCCAAGCGTCTCTCTCTCCTCTTTCCACTCTGGATCCAGGCTCTCAGGCAGTGCTTTGGTCTGCCACTTGGTCCGGGGCTTCCCTGCGCGCCGAGGGAAAAAAAGCCCAAGCCCCCGGTCCACCTTTTTGACCGCCAGCTTGGGCAGCGAGGCCTCGCTTCAGGAGGGTTCCTGCTCTTCCAGCGGGCCCCTTACAGCCAATGAATCAAACCGAACGAATATGATGTCGCAATTCGGTACATCGAGGGATTTCCCCCGCGCCGAGCTCAAAATGACGTGGGCTCTGAGCTAAGACGAAGGTCCGGAATCAAGACATAGCCCGCAAGTCCGCAAGATGGTGGGCGCTCAAAAGCGCAACCCGGTTGGTCACTGTCCGGGCGCCACTGGAAAAATAAGTGTTGCTTAACCAATGGGAAGCAAAAAAGCCTGTTCTCTCCAGCCGGTCTCACCTTTTGAGAGTGCACGCCCAGTTTTTGTTTATTGCGCGCCTTCCACCTCCACCTGGCAGTAGGGATCAAACTTGCCCAAGTGCTGCTCATTGCTCTTCAGATTCCTCGGAGCACAACGCGCGAGACGAACACATGACAGATTTGCCGTGCGGGCTCTGCCATGGGCTGGGCAGATAGCCGTTCACAACTATGGCGATTTCGAGGGGCTAACAGGGATGAAAGTGACTTTGTTCGGGGGCCCGAAGCAATATGCATGGACTTGTCGGATTCGCACATGTATTTTATGTTTAAAGCGTTTGAAGTGGTGTCTAACTGTGGGTTGCAGCTCAATAAGCCAACCTTCCCTCAGCCTGAGAGACATCTGATTGCTCTTTCAGAAAACCAAGCAACCGGGTGCGACTTGTTCCGGCGCTGGGTGCTAAACAAACATAGGGTTAATGCAACGACCCCGGCACAAGTGCAAAATGGTTTCCTTGAAGCACAAATCAAACGAAGGGCTTGCAGGGATCCACTCCCTGGATCCCAAAAAGAAAGCTGAAAGCAAAAAAAACTCACGGTTCACAAGTCTGACCTCTCAAATGGAAGCCATCTCCACCCCACCGGCTTGCGACTCGCGACGCGCGACGCGCGACGCGTCCAAACGCGCCCAAAGGCGCTTGGCGGAGCTCACGAGGATCCGCACCCTGCGCGTCACGAAGTCCATGCGAAGGGCCGCCAGGAGCCGCTTCCTCAGACCGGCGGCCGGCCAGCGACCACCGCAGCAACCGAACGGCCCAAACGCCCGAAGCGTTGTCCCTGTACGCGGGGGGGGGGGTGGGGGGGTGAAGGGTCTGCCGAAACGGTAACGGCTGGAAGAAACAAGATTCGGTGCCCCTTGTTGGGCTTCACGATGTGCTTCCATGTGCTTTTTCGCCCTGGAAAGAATGAGAAGCTATTTTCTGTAGTGATAGGTTCCCTTTAAAACCAACAAGGGAAAATAAACATATACATATATATTCTCAAGCAACTGGAAGGCTTGATTCTTTTGGATCCTCACCGATCTCCTTTTCCCCTGCGTCCGCATTCGTATTTCAGCAAATGGCTGAACCTTGTAGTGAGAACCCAAAAAACAAACTTGGAGAGATTGGGGCGCCGCTCTAAACGCGGGAGACATTTGGATGTCGCTCTCCGCGGCTCCAAAATGAGAGGCCGGTTTTGATGCCGGCCCTTGCTCCAAGCTCCGGTCCGACGGTGTGCCCTCCGGTCCGCTAACATGGGCCGATTTTTGGACGACTTTTTCAACCAGGACCCCTATGAGGTTCCATGTTTGGTCGATGGGAGGGTAACCCTTTAAGTAAGGTTCATGGGAACCAAAACACACATGTGTTTCCAAAAGGTCGGGGTCGATTTGGTCAACAAGGCCAGCCACGCTGAAAGGTATGAAGTCGAGTTTTGATGCTGACCCTGATCAAGAACATTGCGGGCGATCTTCTGTGTGGATGGGGGACGGGTTTAAAGGATGGGATCCACTAGCCAGCATTCTGTCTCAACTAGAGGGGCTCTCAATTCAATGTCCCATCCCCTTGATTCCTTTTGAAGCTGAGGATTCTTGGCCAGACTTCTCGCGGCTGGGGCATATCAAGCCCAAAGGTAGGTTTCCAAAAGGTGCACACAGACTGTCTGGTGCACATCATTGGGATTTCTCTTGCGGCTCATGTGCAGCAACCATCTTCTCAGGTGTTAAGTTCTTCTCTCAATCATGGGGGCTGGAGAGGGGGGGCATTCAGGCCTTTGTTTCAGGCTTGCTAAGCCCAAGTCGGGCCTCATTTGGGCTCCTTCCCCACCCCACCCCGCTCCCCCCCAGGGTTCCCAGCCCCATCAAGATTCACCGAATCAGGCCATGCTCTGCATGTCACCCGCCTTCAAAAACCATCGTCCCAATCCTCCAACCCCATGGGACCAAATTCGCAGAAAGCCATCATGATCCCCGACGCGTCCAACCCGCTTCTCTTTTCCTCCAAGGCGCAGGTCCTTTTGCGCGAAGATCCCCGCAGGGATGCCCATCTGGGCATCTGCCTGCTCCTTCCGAAGCCCGCAGGCCGAAGGCCGAAGGCCGAAGGCTTCCGCACTGAGCATATCCGATTCCCGGGGTGCGCTGCTCCGTTTTGCACCATGGCACAGGTGGCAGGCCTGCCCTTGATCTGTTTGGGCATCGATGGGATTTTGCGCCGTCTGCTTTCTCACCCTGGTGCAAAACGCCCTGGACCGAAAGGAAAGCAACACAGTGGGGAGTGGTTTTGGGGGACAACACTAAGCTCCGGATCGTTCGACTTTCAGCATTTATCACTCTCTTGTGAAGGGTCCCTCCGTTCTTACCCACCACCAAATCGAGATGGTGACAAGTGTGGCATTTCTGGTACACACTCACGCATGGTTCGGGAAAATTCCTTGGAACATGTCGTCATTCTGATCCGCATCCTCGGTTCACGGATGCCCTTCCCAGTGACTTTGCTGAAGGACCAGGCAGTTATTTGCCTATGGGTCAAAATCCCGTAACCCCAGTGAACATCCCAATCCCCATTAAAATAGGCTAAAACGGGTGGTGCACCTACCAAAACGGGATCCCATTGGTGTTGACCCACGACCATTTTGCTGAAGGACCAGGCACGTTCCTTTCAGAGATGCGCCGCTGCATAGCTTGCGAGCTGGATGATGTTCCTATGGATTGTTGGGGGGATGCGTCCCCTACACAACGGCATCCAGTGGAAGTGCGCAGTGGAGTTAGGCCGCTTTTTCATGCATGGGTTGCTTCACTTTGATCAGTAGGCGATCCCTGTGATCAGTACGCGATATCAGGTATCCCGACTTTTCACTGCTACTCCCCTGTGAGTTCAGCTCCTTTCGGCCTGCCAGGGTCGCTGGCGAGGCCCCATTTGAGTCAAAATCAAAACCGGGCACCAAAATGGTCGACCCAGAACCTTGCAAAGAACTAAGAAGGCGGATATCCGCAGCTATTTGTGGTTGGGAGCACCCCTTACAACGGGTTTTGATTGTGGCTCATTTGAGAGTACCCGCCACGGCTCCTGTCGCATGTGAAAGGTCATGGACAGTGGCCGCGCCGGGTTCATAAGGAGGCTCCTCACCTCCGGCAAGGTCAGCCTCTCCTTGCAAGCGGCTCTGCCCATAGGTGTCCTTTTCGGAAACTCGACGGCCTATGAACAACCAGGAATCGCCATCAGTTTTCCGCCGCAAAACTGGAGTCAGGACCCCAGCAAAAAACTAAACTGTTCTTTTTGCCTGGCTAGCCCAAAAAAGCAAAAGCAAACAAAAGGGGAAGAACAGACACCAATTTGCCCCTGCCACTCCGGTTAAGAGATCTTCAGGGAGCGGGATCGAGCAATCCTAGGTAGCGGGGGGGTATGCTGGCCAGTGCTTCCAGCTTCGCCACAGCAACAGCCTAGAGGTAAGGTTACCGGCAACTAAAGTGGAAACTGGAAGCACTGGCCTGGCTTGCGCTTTTTACTGTTTGCTGGCTTTCTATTGAATCTATTAATTTTGGGTTGGGTGGTTCATAAGGGCAATTATGTACAACAACTCCCGATGCGAACATTTAACGACCCGTGCGTTTGAGCCAGTGGCTCATATTTCTGGGCTGCCCTCAGATCCCCGGCTAAAAGTTGAGAACTTTTAGTGGCTTAAATGGAAACTAGCACTAACCCCAAAATGATCTAAAAAGCTAAGGAACCGGATGGCTGGCTTCGCCACCAAGATTTGTTTTTGAGCCAATGGGATCCCGAAAAGCACTCCTGACCACAGAAATACCGAAACAGGCGCCAAAAACAGGGATCCTTACACTTTACACCTGAACATTGCCTTGTAAATGGTGGTTTCCAACTTTATTTTGGTGAGAAAAAAAAGCCAGCCCTGAAAAAAATACCCCACCCCAGTGGCTCTCACAGAAATCCAAATCGTACCCCCAAGTGAACATCCCAATCCCCACTAAAATAGGTTCTAAAATGGGCGGTGAATTCACCGAAAACCTCCAAAACGGGATCCCATTGGCTTTGAACCATGGCCATATAAGCATCAAACCAAAACCCATACCTGAAAATGACCCTAAGGCTCTAAGGGCCAGCGCCTCCCATTCCAGTTCCCCCAAAAAATGGGATTCGGAGCCCCGTTTTGTTTGTTTTGACCCAGGCGCCACGCTCATGCCGTTGATCTTCGCCAGGCGTTGGCCAGGGCGCACGCCCTGCTTCTCCGCCGGGCTCTCGGCCACTACACCCAGCACCAGCAGCAGCGGCGTGTCCTTGGCGCCGCTTTCCGCGCCATCCGCTTGCTCCAAGGGACGACCTGGATCCTATACCTGGTCCAGTGGAGAGGCTAGAATAAGGGTACCCTTTCTTTGTTCTGTAGTCTATTTTAGTAGGGGAACCCTCCAAAGAAGTTGGTAAAAAGGCACTACTGGGGACCTAGTATAGCAGGTATGCCATGCTTTCGGCTTTCCGCTGGCTCCAAGGATCTCTGAGCAAAAGGTGGACCCTTGCCAGTGGATCTTGTAAGCCATTCTCCTTGTAGTGGGTCCTTTGGTTGCCTACTATACGGGTACATGGATCCACTGGGTTTGGTAGGTTTGATGGAAAAAGCCGCTTGTTAAAGGTCTCAGGGGCGATTTGGTCACGCCAAAGCCGCGTTATGCGCTTTGATCCCTAATGAACAACCCTGGGTGCGAGCTTACCTTGGGCGAATCAAACAATGGAAGCTTCGTCTTTATGTCTGCGGGTCCCAGACCCTTCTTTGAGATTCAGAGTCCGCCGGCCCCTTTGGAGCAGCATTTTTTCCCCTGTGAGCAGGTTCCCGGAAAATGCTGATGGACATGGGCACATCGGGAGGGGGGGGGGGGGTAAGGAGCCGCCCCTGCACACATCACATAAGAAAATATGTCTATATAGATTTTAAAATATATCTATTGTATAATCGATATAATAATATTATATCGATTATACAATAACTATATTTTAAAATATATATATATATACATATGTTCTTAATCTATATTATAGATTGTTGTTTTTTTGTGTTTCCATTTTTTTTTTATTTTTTTTTTTTTTTAAAAAAACATGCATATACATATATATATATATAGATAGATATCCTCCCCAGAGCATTCAGAAACCCAAGCGGATGGCGACAGTTGTCAGCCAAAGACACCCTTCAGGATGAAACACTCGGGACACGGGGTGAGACGACCCCAAAAATACTTAAGGACCACTTGCCGGATGCAGCGAACAACAGCCCAGGGACAAGCTCTTCTTTTGAGCCACATGCCCTAAGCGCACCACACTCGAAGTTGGGTAACGTCGTGTGGCGCCAGGATCACAGCTAGAGGCATGCGAATTCCAGCGCGCGGCTCGCCAGGTTTGGAGGTGCCCGTCACTTGCTGATGTGGACCCCGGAGTGATAAACCCCCCGAAACATATCGGGGTGTCCGATTCTGGCTTTTGTGGGGATTCAGACCACTTTTGGAGGGGACCACCCCCATATTAATACACAGGGGTTTATTAATCCGGGGTCAACATTAAGTATTGTTTGCGACTTGTTCCATTGCCGCTCTGTGCGCAAACCAGCCTGGATGTACCTTAAGACAGTCCAAAACTTGTGTTTGGCCATGCAGCCAATTGCCCAAGTCATCCCATTGTAAGCCCAAGCCGCGGAATCAGCGAAATGGATTCCATAGGCGCCTTGCGCCGTGAAGACCGCCAAGACGGGCTCCGTCAAGCCAGTATCCTGGAGCATCGGAAGGCACAAAGAGGCGATGCAAAGGCATGGAGGAAGCCGGGCTAAGAGACTAGCATAGCGAGCATTTCCTTGCCGGCAATCTGAGTTAATTGGCTAACATTCTATCTTGAATCCGTCCAGGTGCCAAGAACCCCCACCCCCCCAACCCCCTCCCCCCAACCCCCACCCCCCCCCACCCCCCCAAGCCGCGGGCCGGTCCTCCACTTTGGTCGAGGCCAAAGCCGCGAAGACGTCCCGGCGCCCGATGACCCCATCGCCCCCAACGTCCAGCAAGCCGAAGGCGATGCGGAGCCGCCGGTCCGGGCTCGCGCTCACCTCCAGCGGGCGGGTTGGCCAACCAGCAAGCAGCAACCAAACAGCTAAGCAGCCACAGGTGGTTGTTTGGGGGGGGTTCGAACAACAAGTGGTAGGGGGGGGGGGGTTGTTGTTCCGGGGGGTGTCTGGCAAGCAAGTGGCCCGGGGGGGGGAGGGAGTTGTTGTAACCAGCCAGCCAGCCAGCAAAACCAACTCGCCACACAACGTGATTAGAAGGAATGGCCAAAGGCACATGGTCACCGCGCTGTTGGCTCTTGCCCTGCCTTCCTTTCCCAGGTTGAAAAGGTGATCTCGAAAAAAAGCGTCAGAAACCAAGGAAACCTGCAGGACCCCCACGATTCTCACTTGCCCGCAAACCTTGAGATAAGGTATACCGCCTGTTGCGGCGAGTATGACTGGCCCAAACTTGGAAAACCAAAAGGTTAGAAGGCCGATTCGCTTTGGGCAAAGCTAACCCGTCAGGGTGCTTTGAGGGTTTTGTTCAGGGGCAGATGCACCCACAAGAAACCAGGGGCTCAAATCCTCAAATCGAGAGAAGAGCTCCCTTTGGAGCATGGCAGGTGCCTGAAATGGATGGGATGGCCGAACTCGGCGTGCATTCGGTATGGAGCATATGTTCCACTATGAGGGGTCCATACTTCCTTAGCTTACATTGGTATATGAGCATCAAACCAAAACCCATACCTGAAAATGAATCTAAGGGCCAGCGCCTCCCATTCCAGGGGTTCCTTATATGGGATTTGGAGCCTTTTTGGAGTCTAAAGGGAAGCATTTTAAGGGAAGCGTTTGAAGGAAATCAGCCGTGAATTGTTGGCCCCTGTTTCGGGGACAGTTCATGTGATGCCATGCCTACAAACTCACATGAGTTGTCCACTAGACCAAACAACTTTGGTTAACGTCACATAAGCATAAGCCCCTCTGCATCTATCAATTTGATCGCCCCATTCACATCTTGACGCCATAAGAGCCCGACCATGAGGCCGACTCGCTCCTCATAGAGCTTGTACCTGATCTTGCCTCTCAGGAAGGAAATTACAACAGCCATGCGCAATGCTCAATATCTTAAGTGGAATTACCATGTGATGTCTGAAAACACTCGAGACTCTGAAAGGATGCAGATTTAGATGATCCTGCTGTACAGCATCGTCTTTATTCTTGAAGGGGAACCCTGTTGGATGATTGAGGACAAACATGTGTTCACGCCCCTGTTGCCCCGTGGCAAAAAAAAACTACGGCACCGCCACTTGGAACTGGGAAAAGCTGTGCCTTCTGCACCAACGGCCACGAGCCAAGCTAGACATGACCCGTCACTCACCTGAAGATGTCCAAATGGAAGGGACACCGAACGACCAACCAAGATTCCGAGATTCCTGCAACTGTGCTCGACAGCTGCCGCCACACAGAAGGGCAAGCTAAGTGGTTTTGTTCATCGCTGAACGAAGGACTCTAAAGAGGCAACGAAACAACCGGAAATCCCAAGGAATATAAACCTCACTTACCCAACAGACCCAGAAATAGGAGGCACGCTTTTTGGTGTGTTGACAAAAATGGGCCAAATCAATCAAACCTAAAAAGGTCAAAAATCGATTCGCTTTGGGCAAGTGAGAACAACACCACTTCCTGCCTTTCAAGCCCTTCAGGCCGAAGTAGACCCCCAGCCGCTGAATGTGCGCCTCAGCCAGCGGCACAGCAGTGGGTGGTCTCTGTCTACCCGACGTGACAGGCAGAACCTTGCAAGAAGGACATGCGCAAAGCAAAGGAGACAGGGTTCAGAGTATGCCCGAAGTATTCCTGGGCATTTGATGAATGCCCTTCATTCAGCCGAGATGCGCAACACACAGAGAAGCAGCTCACTTTAGAAATTACCTTGGCACCTGGAACATTTGAAAGGACTCCCTGAGAAAACACATTTCATCAGGCGACGGTTGATTTTCTTGCCGGGCGATCTGAGCCGATGTTTCACTCACTTGCCCAAAAGACCTGGAAATAAAAGGTCAACCTTTTGGGACCTTTACTAAAAATGGTCCAAAATGGGAAAACCCAAAGGTCAGATCCGGTCGATTCGCTTTGGGCCAGTGAGTTCCTCCAGCCCCGTGTCACATCGCCGGGCGAATGGCATTGGAGAGACGCCCGCGCAGACTCTTCGCCACCTGGGAAGCTCTTGCGGCTTGCCGGCCGTGCTGCGTGACGTGTCACCCGTGCGCCAAGGCAAGTTGCCATTTCTTGGTGGACGTTGGGTTAGGGGAGCAAAAACTTGTGATTTTTAGCTGTTTATGTGGTGTTGGATTTCAACCACTAAACCGCAATAAGCAAAAATGATTTCAATTGTTTCCCAACAACGACCATGATTTGTGCAACAGTCTTCCTATTACACCCTATGACGGCCTCGGAAGCTTTTGGCTTATGTGGGGTTCTTTGGGGTAACTAGGGTATCCCAGGGTGTAAAATCGGACACTCCCCGAGATTTCTGGCGGGACACCAACTACCATTCCATCCGATCTGGTTTTGGGATTATTCTGTGTAGGTGTCATCCGCGGGCCTCGGCTCCAACAGGTGTTGGAGTGATTAAAAGGCTGTGGGGTGACTAAAAGGCGTTGGGGTGACTAAAAGGCTGTGGGTTGACTGAAAGGCGTTGGGTTCACTAAAAGGCTTTGGGGTGAAAAGGTCGATTCGCTTTGGGCAGCCTAAGACTCGTGCAATCGCCTTAAGATGCAGTTCGTCCGTTACAAATTTCGAAGAGGCTTGACTGGCAGGGCCTCTGACACACTCCGCTTAAGCGGGATATGAGCAACATGAAACCTGGTCCCAATCTTTATCGACACTTCCATTTTCAAGTTCCAATTCGGACCTTTCTACAACTAAACTGGCCCCATTATCTTACCATGATTATGGTCCAGTGGCAGGGAAAAGGGGAACAACCCCATTTGACAACCTTGACAACCCCCCGGAAAAAGTCAAAGAACATTACACCAATAGTGCTCCTAAGGCTGCGAGGCTGTGCCAAGCAAAATTCATACGCGGTCAAACCATGAAGTTGGCAGAAATGGAGTCTTGGTGCCAGGCAAGCTCAGCATGGGAAAGTGTCAAAATCGGGATACTCCCAAAATGGGGAGGTTTTAAACCCTGTTAGTTTTAAACCCTGTTAGTTTCCTCAAAATAAAACCGGAGTTCCCCTCAAAAAACAAAACACCTAAATGAAACTGACCCCCTGTACCCCAAAGATAATGGTTTTCCTGTCGGTTTCCGCGAGAAAAAATGCCTAAACAAAGTCCCCCTGAAAAAATAGGAACCCCACCTAAAAAGGGTTCCCACCTAGAAAGGGTTGCCACCTAAAAAGGGTTCCCCTCAAACAAGGCACACCCAAACGAAACTGACCCCCCCCCCCCTATTGGTTCCACGGGCAGCTTTGACCCCGCCTCAGCCCAAGAGATCATGGCGCCGGAGCTGGCCCTAGACCGAGCGCGGCCAGCGGCGAGTCCGCGAGTCCAAGCCCCAAAACGATGGAGACAGAATCAGGGCTGTCGGAATTTCCAACTGTGATACCCCAAAAAGCCTTCCCAATGACTAATTCTCCGCTGAAACAGGGAGGTTTCTTGGTATCACAGAAGTGGGGGGGAAACTCCATATTCCTACAACCGGACCCCTTTGGTTGTCAATTAATATATTGCTTCCGGTGGAACAAGAATTCTATGCCTTCGGGGGTTGACCGGGTTTATCATGTTTGGCATGTTTAGTAGAAGCCCACATAGCAATGTAAACTTGGCCGCACGAGACCAAGTAGGACAAATGCAAACCATCCGACATCCTTTCTGCATCTACCCAATTTCAGTGAAGGGGTGAGCAAAAGGCTGCAAGGCTGATTCGCTTTGGACAGCTAAACTAGGTCCTCCAGTACAGAGGTTAGAATAAGGGACCCTTTTTTCTGTAGTCTATTTTAGTAGGGGAACCCTCCCCCAAAAAAGGGTAAAAGGGCACCACTGGGGGACCTAGTAAACCACAAAAGCCTGGCACTAGAGACCTGTCAACCATCGAAAGCGGACATATTTCTAGTTTCCTGCTAGCCTTCCCACACGGAACCAAACCCCAACGTGTTCGACAGCTTTGCGGCCACCCTTGTAAGAAAAACTTCCTCTTCTTTCCAGGCATCCTTTGTTTTTTTGTTCCTCGAAAAGAACCATCAACGCCACTCAGGGAAACCGGATCTGGTTTTCAAACGTTGGCTGAATAAATGGGAATCAAGC